CCCCCACTCACCATTGAAAATATTTAAGTATGCCACTGCACTTCGTTGCATAATTGTTTTTGCCGTTTATTATTAGTTTTAATAAGTTGCAATCTAAGAAAATCTATAAAAGTCCTTGATACCTATATGGCTATATGACTAGGTTTATATAGGACTAAATTTATAAAAGCCAAAAAAAAGTACTGCACACTTTTAAATTTGCTACTGCACAATTTATATTTGCTACTGCACATAGTGTGTGCTACTGCACACAATTTTAGGTCCTGTTGCATCTTACTTTTTGATTATCCCTCACAATATCACATGAAAATTATTTCTTTGTTAATTTATTTCCTTGAATATGGCCAAAATTATGAAATTTTGAGAAACTGTTGCATTTTATTACTGATATAAATACAGCCGTGAATAGACAAAGATACCATACGATTAGGGTTTTTAATTTTATTCWAGGTGATATCCAATATATATTAAATAATCGTGATATGTAACAATTTATTGTTATTTTTATAATATACTTTGTATATTGCGGTTGATCTGCATGGCTAAAATATTTTATATTTTATACCGTAACAGTGTTTATATTGTAATTTGCAATTAATAAATTAATGACCAATGTAATTTTTAATCAACCAAAAATCTTTGTTTGTAGATGTTATATGGTGCATTCCTAGTGTGTCTAGACCTGTTTTAATGGAAAAAATTAATCATTATTAAATAATTTTCTATGGACAACTTTGGGTACATAATAAATTCATCAATTTAAATTTGATTATAAGTGATATGAAATAACATTTTTAACTTAATACCCACAATGTTGAGGATATATAGCAACAATATTTTGAATACAGAAAATTTGAATATTTTTTTATTAATCTTAAAAAAACAACCTATCAATTTATAAACTTAAGTCAAAACCTATAATTTAAGTGTCAAACAAAATATACATGATGAATGACGATAATAATAATAATAATAACAAAATTAATAATAAAAATAATATTATCTTTTTTTGGTTACCCTTTGACGTAAAACTATAACATATTGGGGATAAGTAATTAGKGCAAATTCCATACAAAGTGTTGATCTTGTATAAAATTGGATTTTATAGCACTTGTTAATTATTATAGGACACAGATAAAAATAGCAAAGTGAGCTATAAATTTGTTTTATGCACGAGGGACTCCAAATATAAAATTGTATTATGTTATTTTATGTATATTTGAAGTATTTTAGATTTATAGTACAATTTTTCAATTTCTAGCGCTATTTTTTGATAATTTGCATAATATAAAGTTTTATTTTGTATTTTCATGATCTATTTTATAGTATGTGATTTTAAAAACATAAATAGTTAGTCATTTATTTTAATTATATTTTTTTATTTGAATCTATAGTTAAAGTAATAAGTACCCACATTTTTAATTATATTAAAATTTATTTTAAAATAGTCTGGCGAATTGATTTGTCGAACTGTAAGTAATTATAATTCCTTATSGTTTGTATTTGTAGTACTTATATATTTCAGCCCAGAATATTCTGTCATACATTTGTACACATTTTTATTTAATTTTCAATAGAATAAATTTAAATTTTTGCTATTTTCCAGATTTTTAGAACATATTATACTGCTTATTTTAAGATTTTTAAAGTCATATTAAAGTGTATATTTCAGTTAATTTTAGTACCATTAAATTCTAAAGCCCTGATAATAATCATTTTAGTTACTGAAACAAAAAATAATATAAACAGATTTGTTTAATATTAAAATTAATCAATAACAACCTGTAGGTTTGGCAAGCAGTTGAGGCGTAACAGAATGCGACATACATCAGCATACCCACGGTTAACAGCGATATGCAGAGGAGTCTGTCCTCGTTTATTACGTGCATTTATATCAGCATCATAAACAACACACAGCATATGCACCACTTGAGGCTGGTTACCAAACGCAGCATGATGAATAGCACGATCACCATCTCTATCCTACAAATATTCAAATACACTATGTTACAAGTTTTTGAGGAATATTTCATAGTTGCTAAAATGAATTAACAATAAAATAACTCTCGTACCTGAAATTCAACATTAGCACCAAACTCTCCGATTAATGCTCGACAAACATTGATATGACCATTTTGAGCAGCGGCCTGCAGAGATGTGTGCCCACTACTCACAAAGTTTGTAAATATCAACTCGTCATCTGTGGGTGGAGGAGTGTAATTACCGGACAAGGCAGCTAGTCTTGGTGTAAGAGCATAGCTGAGTGTCATTGGCTCTTCAGTTGACTGTAGCTTCATTAGACATAATTTCCTTAGTCTTTCCTTTTCCAAAACCTTACGACAGTTTTGGACATCACCATTAGCTGCTGACATCACCAGCTCACGTCCYAATACTTCCCTCTCACGAAATAATCTTAGTCGTTTATCATTTTGAGTTTCATCTCGAATCACTAATTGAAATATTAAATAACATATGAATAATATTAAAAAGTTAAATTTTGAGTTAGAATTTTTAATTTTAAAATAAAAATGGTGCTACTTAAAATCATAAGGAAAGCAAATTTATTTAGTTTGATATAAAATATTATTTAATAACTAATCAAAATTATTCAAAAATAAATGTTAAGTTCCTAAATAAATAATCAATACTATTTAGTGATCCATCAATATGGAAAAATTGGTTTGAAATTAAATATCCACTAACCCAAATTTAACCTGACAAGCATCAAAGTAATGAAAATTGGTAATTTTAATATGTTACATATTATCTCCCACATCAACAATTTTTTATACCTATATCTATCTATAAATATCAAATTACTTTGAGTGATTCATTATCGCCTAGTCGGAGCCGAAGAAGCTATGAGTATGAAATTTGGACAGTAGTTTTGTTTAATGATTTGGACATCCACTATAAAAGGATTTTTCAGAATCCAACCCCTACAGAAGTTAAAATGATTAAAGAGGTAAATCTATGAATACATAATGATTGTCCTATGTAATCCATCATCGCCTAGCTGGAAMCACTGAAGATATGGGTATGAAATTGTGTCATTAAGTTCATTTATAATGCAAAAACCCACAAAGGATTTTTCAAAATTCAACCCATGCAGGGATCAAAGGGTAATATAAAAAAGGAAATTTGTTCATTTGATCAGTTTAATCTCTGGAACTATTAAATAGATTTTTTTACTAACAGAAAGCTACACAATCACATGATTCTATAGRCTATAGCTATATTTTATCTTGATAAGTGCCTYTTAATTTCTTTATTGAAAATTTAAGATTTTTTATGGAAACAATAAATATAATAATAATAACATTAAATATATTTTTGTTTAGTATATGGTTGCTTTGGTTATACAATTTAGTATAGATGAATAAAAACTTAACAATATGTTATTAGGTACCAATTTTAAAAACTGAATCACCATTACAAAGTTAAAAATGCTATAAAATATTATGATTRAATATAATTTTTAGTCCTGTATTTTAAATGACTATGTTAAAGATCTTTTATGGAGATTAAGATAGGGTAAATCCACAAGAATTTATCACAGTAAGTTTTGATTATGACTAGTCGGGTATAAACTACAAATTAAACAAACCTTTTGTATCATATGGTCTGTACTTTTAACGGGCAAAGAAGTGCACGGGGATCAAATAGTTTATCATAAAATTTGTTAATATATTATATAAGACAATTATATACAAATACAAATATATACAAATTATGTACAGTTAATGGTTAAGAAAACTAGAAAAAAATTATTTATAATATAATATATCATTATATATTTATATATTTACATATAATATKATTATTTTTATTTTTTATTATTTTTTTAAATCAATTAATTAATAAATTATATTTAAATTTAAAAAACTTTTACGCATTATAATCTCTTGAAGATAAGCTTGACTGGGGGGTGAGTAAATTAGTTTACGATGGTCCATTTCCAGTTCGCAATTTATGTACAAATTGATGCTGGGTCACATGAACATTAAATTTTATTTAACTATTAAAAATTAAATTAACCATTAATTTTTTATTCAACCCAGTGGAATATGAGTATTATGCTCTATCTATCTAGAGAGCTCAATCCTCTCGCCATCTCAAAGTCTTAATTCTTCCCCCCCCCCTCCATCTGGTGGAAAACTTTAAGGTACAGTAGAACCTTATTAATCCGGACTAATAGGGTTGTTTGATTTAATGAAAGTCAAGATTAAACAAAATAACGTAGAAACATGTCCCTATTATTGATATATTAATATTAAATTAAACTAATAATTGCAACATAACATTAGATCCAGCAAAAACATTACATATCAATGTAATGTATATAATAATAATAGATAGAATTATTATACAGGTGTCCCAAAGAGATCTGACATTCTGACAAATGAAATAACTTTTGCTCTAATCAATATTTTTAAAAAATTTCTTTTAAATATAAGCCATAGACACTTGCGCTACATTTTTTATTTTTTATTTTTTAATACTGAAAATAAAAAACTTAAAAATTGATAAAAAAAATTTTCGAAAAATTTAATATAGCCAATTTGTAAATCTGATTTTTAGAAAAATTTATATGGTAAAAACACTTATTTAAGTCAAATGACTGATTTTTTACAATTTTTTTAAATATCAATATTTTCGTTAAGTAAATTACGATCTAGTTTATGTTAAAAACATTTTAATTTCAAATAATATAAAGTTTTTTAAAAATATTTCATAAGAAAATTTTTAAATAGTTGCATGTTAAAATATAATTATTTTTTTTATTGCATTTATTTTAATAATATGTGATTATAAACTATAAATTACTATAATTTACTTAACGAAAATATTGATATTTCAAAAAATTGTAAAAAATCAGCCATTTGACTTAAATAAGTGTTTTTACCATATACATTTTTCTAAAAATCAGATTTACAAATTGGCTATATTGAATATTTCAAAAAAAATTTTATCAATTTTTAAGTTTTTTATTTTCAGTATTAAAAAATAAAAAATGTATTCTAAAAATGTAGCGCAAGTGTCTATGAATTATATTTAAAAGAAATTTTTTAAAAATATTGATTAGAACAAAAGTTATTTCATTTGTCAAATCTCTGTGGGATACCCTGTATAATTAGGCACACTTTCATTAACTGGTTTGAAAAAACTGCTAGTCTTTTGTTGTCTTTCTTTCGCATTATTTCTCGTATTAATAATTTCCGTAGATGCCTCAATGTTTGTAACATGCAGATATGTTTTTATAGTTGATAACTTCAACTTATTAAAGAACAATATTTGGATGGTCTTTAATTTCACCAAGTTTAGCTTAAACTTGATACTATCGTCTACTTCATCTTGTTCATATATTCATCTGTTTCAGAGTTTTCTGCAGCGATGAGGATTTCAGAAATCTCTTCTTGTGTAAAAATGTGATACCTAATATGTTTATTTTAGTCTACGGCATATACTGCATATTTTTCGTAATATTATACAACTGTTTAGATTAAGCAAAGTCCGKACTACTGGGGTCTGGATTAATGAGGTTCTACTGAATATACAATGAAGCGGCTGCACAGTTTTAGTCGCCACTAAGTTAGGCTATGGCACTGGATAGAATATCGTTGCAAAATAATTGTGCAGTTAATATAATGAAACACCCATATTTTAATATACTATTCATGTATTATTTTTATGGTTTCATTTTGATAATTTGATTATGTACCATACATCTTTAATTCAAAAACTCTATCATCAATTTTATACATGTACACACACACAAACCTTCACTGACTGATCCCATGATTCCATTATTATGTGTATTTAGTAGAGTAACTGCTCGTGGGTTATATGTCCACGATGTGTTGCATACAACTATCTTGAGATCACCATCATCATAAACTTGTTGCACGTAACCAATTTCACCCAAAGTCTAGAAAATAAAATAATTATTTTGTATTATATTAAATGTAAATTAATATTATAATAAGATAATATATGCAGCAGAGTATTAAAGCACATTTAAACATCATACCATAGACATGGCATCAGCCCATTCGCCATGRCCTTTTTGCAATCGGCGCACAAATTCCAAATCGTTAGAAATCCTTACAGTTGATCCTACTTTGATAACATATGCATCATGTGATGAACTTGCAGCTGAATTAGAACTACCTGCCACTGGATTATCACTAAGTCCACCAACTTTTGTAAGTACAGCTGCATTAAATGTCCACCTATTGCCACTTGGATACAGAACAACAATGTCATGATCTTCATCAATACCAACCACCGATCCAATAGAAGCACTTTCTCTAACTCCGCCTCCCAAACATTCTTCATACATGCCTTCTGTCCAACCTCCATGATCTTGTTGCATAGCTCTTACAACATCTAATTCCAGATCAACTCTTACCTAATAAATACAATTTATTTTAAATATTTTTTATATTACACATTATATTACACATTACCAACAATAAAATACAAAAAAAAACGAAATGTGAAAAAAATATTCTTACCCGATCACCAATCTCTAGCTGTTGGTATTGTAGTTGGTTATGTAAATGATTTAAACTTAGTACTCCTTGGTTATGCTGGTCATTCCACTGTTGGTGCTGATGTTGGCCTAACAATGGCAGGTGGTCTCTGTACACGGTTGTAAATCCTTTAGATGGAGACACACATTTCAAGTCAGACTAAGGCAAAAAATTGTGAAATGTTAACACACATTAAAATATTATTTACAAAAAAAAAAAATACAATTTTATATTATTTCATTAACTAAAAAATTACAAACCATTCCTTCAAATCCGACCCGGTACAAATTTTTGACACACCCAGCTGTGTTACCATTTACATCCCATTGGACATAAGCGGCTGAACGAACACTGCCTGTCGTAGCAGACCAGTCTTGAATTTCACACACTTTTCCACGTTTAACGTTTGTCGGCGAGACAGCATTATTCAAACCTCTCTGATTAACAGATCCTCCATCCTGATCATCCCATTGCCAGTCAACACCACGTACAACGCGTGAACCAGGGAAAATACCACGCAATGTTATTTTCTTAGATTTTTTTCTTTGATCTAATATAATTGGATTTTCACCTAGACCACGGGGGTCTTTTAGTAATTCTCTTGGTACAGGTTGTTGAATCAATATAAACCTATGTCGAACATTGTGTTTGTCACTATGATAACACATAAAACACAAATCGACAGAACTATCACTTGCAACTTCATTGCCTGGACAGCTCATGCATTTCCAACGATGTCCGATGATAGGTGTCTGTTTACACGCATTACACACAACCCCTTCATGCTTGGAGTGTCCTATGAAAAAAAGAAATTTAAACTCTAAATATTTTTGATGCAACAATATTATAAAATATGCAATAAAAAAATAATGAAACAAACATTTTTTCTTCAAAATTGGGTTTTTAAATATATATATATATATCAACGACCAAGATATTTTTATACATTAATAATAATAGCCTAAAATGTACTTCATTTTCTACCTAAATTATTCAAATTAAATAAGAGGTATTTTTTAATGATATTATGAGTTCAAATATGAATAAAATTGGATATTTAAACAAACAATAAAAATTTAGTTAAAYGACTAAAAATTACTTTGGGAGTGATGAACAAGTGTTAATCATACTTAGACAATTAAAGAAACTATAGATATTATTTTAGTATTTTAATTTATGAATTAAAACATTTAATCAGAACTATTAAATTCAAAAGATACTGAAAGAGTAATCTAGCTATAAAATAAGATATACAGTTATTTAATTTGATTTATCACACCTAAACATAGTGTTAAAAATAAATAAAAAATTAAACATTTATATTATAATATTTTAAAATAAGTATTAATAAGCTTGATTTAAAATAGGCCTATCATGCTATCTAAAAAATAATTTTTATTTTAGATAATAAATTAGAACCTTGATTAACCTTATCTYGATTATCTGTGATTAACCATGCTCTCCCTTCCAAAAATTTAAAAATAAGTATGTACTATAGATATTGTATATTATTTAATTATAATCAAACATTTTATATTGCATAATATCATCATTGATAATATGTATACAATATTGACAAAGGTATTAATGATATTTTTGACGATAACAATATGATTGTAAACATTATTGAACATACATTGATTATTATAAATTAGTTCCGACAAAATTTAATAATGAGTGCTAAACGAAAACGCATTGTTTTTTCTCTAGAGCAGAGGTATTCAAACATTTTCAGCACGCGGCTCYTTTGGGTGTTYACAATATKTTTAMGGCTCCMAAATTATTATGAAAAAATTGAAACAACACACGGATACAATATGGGAGATATGTTATATGGGTGATAATAACAGTGAYTTTAGTACTAGAAATAAAATTTCAAATGTTCGAATCGTAAGGTGTGTCGTTTTCATTTCAATAATGATTGCAGATAATATTTATAATAATTATACAGGACCTAGGTATGATGTGGCTTTGACGCGGCTCCCTTTGCAAACTCTCGCAATACCCMTGGGAGCCGCGACGCACAGTTTGAATACCTCTGCTCTAGAGAAAAGTGTTGATTATTAACCAGGATGTAGCTAACAACAGCCCGATTCTTTTTCTGAGAGCGATAATAACAAGTTTTGAAAATATATAGACAAGCCAAGCAATGGAAGAAGTTGATGACCTCCTGAACAAAGGAACAGCAAGCAGGAACATTTTGACTTCACGTGGGATTATTGGTTTTAAAAATAATAAGAAGTGAAGTAATAAAATTATTTCAAACCAAAAAAAAAACTAGGATTGATAAATTCATATTTTAACTTGTTATATATAATATTATAGTTAAGAGATATAATATAACATTATTGCATGTATTTCTAATTATAATTTAATTTAATATTTAAAAATTTCATTATTATAAAAAGTTTTGATTAACCATGATTTTCATTTATTTTCTCCCAAGCCCAACCATTACTTCAGAAAATCGGGGTTCTACTGTATCACTGTGTATAGGTATAATGAATTATAATTTACAATACTATATTATAAATTCACAACCTTAATTATTTCTAATGTATTCATTTCTAAAATAGCAGCTATAACAATCAAGTAAAAAAAAAATAATGGAACAAAACCCAACTGAATCATTAAATAACTTTTCTAAAACTAAAAACTGTTATAGTACCTTCAAATAACTAACTATTCATTTAAAAGCAAGTGTTTTTTTTTTTAAATTAAATTATATTAATTTTACTTTATTATTTAAAAATTACAATTAAATAAATAAATGATTATTATTAATTAAGTACTTTAAATTCACACATATGTCCTCATTGTATTTAATACAATTTACAACTTTTTTACCAACATCAAATTAATTATTACCAAGTAAATTTAATTTGACTGAATACAAATACAATTAAATAAAAACACTTAACTATTAACATTTATAATGAATATTTGAAATCTAAAATGTTTTAAAAATATTTTACCAGTTGGTCCACTGTCATAAACACGCAAATCATATTGACCGGAACATCTATAGTTAGCCGCTATTCCATTATCCCAAACAACGACAACCTCTTCGTGAGACTCAAAACTCCTAACTGTTCCTAAAAAACCTTCTCCTCCATCCTAAAATAAACAATACATAAATAATGTTTAATTATAAACATTTGTTGTTTCTGTCACCCAACCATATGACAATATTTTAATTAAATTGCATGCAAACTAGCAACAATTTTATTTGAAATTACCTGCTTGTTCCATTTCCAGCTAGGACCACGTATGACACGGGATCCTACAAGATGCAATAATGTAGGRCACACCACTGACATCGCACAAGTCAAAATCAGACACCACCTTGAATATCTTAATTATTCGCAACCACCTAAGCAACCATATTGCCTTACTAATGTACTTCAGGGCTGAACAGAACGTTCRAAGTGTTTCTAAGAACGAGTGATGAAAATTGATAGACTGTAACACCAAACAGTGTAGATTTTATACTATAGAAGAATGAAATCGACGTCGTTGAGCGAACGCCTGTCGCCGCTTAAAATTGCAATGATTGTCGCCGCCCGATCGATGGATAAACAACGTCAGGTCGAGAAAAACACACATACACACACGCTGACGCACACACACCCACGGACAAAACAAAAACGTATCTTGAGTTGAGTCGGACGCGCACGGACGCGTTATAGGTAACTCAAAACTATTGACTACGACGCATTCACAACCAACCAACCAACATTATTAGCCATTAGGATACAAATATTGTATAAATTATTATAATATTAATAATAATATACTGTTGTTTGTTGCTATTTGAACACAACACACACGGCGGAATAGTATCACAACACCATTCACGTTATCAGTGTACACCATAGCAGTTATGCACTTATGCACAACAGATGGTCGTCGGCGATGATACACAATCCAGCAGCAGCTTAGATCATAAATCTAAGCCGTCCAGACGACGTCTCCCAAAGTCCCAAAGTGATGAGATTAAAAAATAAAATTTCCACAACAAATAGTTTATAACTGCCAACTTAGAAAAGTAAAAATCCCACTAATCTATTCGCAATTGTAACACCTTCCAGCTTAATAACAAAAAGATAAGATAACTTGTCCTAATGGCTAATACTCCTAATTCAAATTGTTATATTTATTTTCCAATCGAAATTCAAATATTATGTATATGTTAGTCCAGTCTCCAGTACTCCAGTGTTGGGTAGTTGAGTAGTAAATTAGGATACTAGTAATCTGTTGTCGTACACTCGTACGTACATAATTTCATGAAAATTATTTTCAAGTAAAGAAAATGCAATGGCTGGTAGCGTTTTAATGTTTTATGGTTTTGATAATATGCCTAGAAGGAAGTGCAATGAACGTGGAAATGATGGGTGCCCGGTTTCTTACCTCACCCTATTCATGTTTTTTAAATTATCATGTAGCACATATTCTTATAATACTTATACCTTTTGTATAGATTGTATATTCTCTAATGCAAATTAAAAATATGCATTTTAGGTACAAAATCTTTGTCCTTTTATTAATGCATAAATATTTTTATAAAACATAAGAAAATTATAATATTATTTTTCTGATAGATGTGTTATAATATGTACTGATAAATTATAAAACTTATAAGTTATAATTTTTAAACAGCTATTATGATTTTATTTTTATTTCGTATTCAGTGTCGTTCCATCAGTCAACCACTGTATGCCCGTTTTATGTATTCATGTTCAATATTACTAATGTAGAATTTAATTTTGTACATATTTTTATTTGCTATACTTTTTTACTGTAGTATATTTATAAATAGATTGCTCGTAAAAATGACGATAAATTTATTGGAAATAAAATTTTTTTATTGTAACTAGAAAGTAACATAGTTATTCTTCTATTTGAAAAGACGAAAGCAACATTGAACATAGGTAATTACTTTTTAAAAGTAATTTACCCAACACTAGCTGCATATTACAAATTTACAATGTTAAATAATTATAAAAAAAAAAATAACATTATTCAGTTATTTGGACTTTAAATACGCAGTATAAAACTTGTTTAGCTTGAGCATAAACCTGGAAACTTCTAAAAGGCGTTAAAAAGTACCTAACAAATATACCTGACAAATTACTTCTGTTCTAAGTGATCAAACCAATATACTATTTTTTATTTTTATATAGGTACAGTATATGCCACTTAATAGAACTATTTTGGGACCACGGTGAAAAGTGTCAATCAACCGATTGTTTCTAATAAGCRATTGGTTTGTTTAGTACTATAACAAAAAAATGATAAATATATTTAACTAATAGGTACATATTATGTATTGTTTTAAAAAAAATATACAATGGATTATCTATGAATGATTGATTTAAAAAAGTATATTGTATGTATATTAAATTATGTATGTACCATTTAGAAAAACTACTTTTATTGAGTACTTATAGTTGTTAGTTCTGATGGAAAACTCAAATTTAGATACATTTCGTTCAGCTTTTTTACGTGACTTGTTGAAGCTTTTAAAAATATTTTTTCTTACCTCAACAATTAACTTGTCTAATAAAGAAAATTTAGCTCTAATACCTAGTTTTTCCAATTCTATGAAGTCCATGAGTTCCACTTTTGGAAACATGGAAAATTGTCTGTCTTTGTAAATATAACCGTATATAATTACTAATAAATCGTAAATGAACAAAATATCAAAATATGAAGGTAAAAATGGAACTATTGAGAAATATGTAAAAACGCGTACTTATGGCAAAATATGTAAAATAAAATATAGTTAATTTCATGAAAATTAAAAATGTATCACTTACCCAAAACAGTAAAAATATTTATTTACAATTTTAAATATAAATGATAAATCCAAGCCCTAGTCATAAACTAGTAACATGTGTACCGGGATGTATGGCAACTCTACATTACACTTATGACCCTTTACATCATCACACATAATTTTACATATTTTGTAACACAAGGACATTTGTATTTAAGATAAATGTATCATTTATTTAATCATTTTTATAATATTAGCTAGTAAATAATAAATTTTCTTTAATAATCTATGAATAATACTTTTACTATTTGAATAAAATCTTATAAAGTGTGAAGATAATTTCTAAAATGTATAGTAAGGATTGTTATATAGGTACACTGCCTATCCAAGTTGTAGCAATAAATCTCAATTTTTTCTGCTGATCCAAATGATCCAATATTATTTTATATTTATAGCTTTAAAATTCTTATAATGAATAGGTTGCCGTATAATATTATACTCAAGGCTGGGCAAGTTAACTAATTATTTTAACTCGTTAAGTTAAGTTAATACARAAAAATGTAAGTTAAGTTTAAAGTTAAAAGTTAGTTTTCTTATTTATTTAACTCGTTAAAAGTTAATTTGAAAAAAAGTAACTTAACTTAGTAAAAAATAAGTTAATTTTCTTTTTTCATGTACAATAAATTATCATACATTTTTATCA